ACCACCAACATTTGAATAATAGTCATTTGTTGCAGTGGATACCTTTTGAGCAATTTGAAGAAGTAACAAAGTTGACAGAAGGTGGATTTATACTGCAGAATGGTCAAGAGGAACTATTGGTGATTATGATGAAATTAAAAAGGAATTTAGTTATTTAGGAGGGCAACAAGTAGTATTAATCCAGAAAAGGCCTTTTTTGATGAGGTTGGTAGTTGTCATTTAAAACAAAACAAACAATGCTATTATATAATACTAATTGGTTTATTTTTAATTACAGGCAATAAATTATTCTAAAATTAAATCATGCTCAATTGTTCAATGTTATGGTATAACTAAATTTCCAAATAATGGAAATTATGCAACATTTTTAAATTATCATTCAGAAGGAAGTTTAAGGGATTATTTGCAAAAAAATCATTTAAATTTAACATCAAAAGACAGAATTACAGTTTTTTATTATTTATGTTACGCATTAAAGGATATGCACAAAAAAGATTTAATCCACTGCAATTTACATGGTGGTAATATACTTGTGCAAGAAGATGGTTGTTATGTTACAGATTTAGGATTATGTGGACCAGTTGATGAAAAGTTATCAAATAAAGTCTATGGAATTGTATCATATATTGCACCTGAGTTACTTGGAGGACAAGTAATGTAAATAGCACAAAAGAAACTGATACCTATAGTGTTGGGATGTTAATGTGGGAAATATTTTCAGATCATCCACCATTGGATAATGGAGCTCACAACCATTGTTTGTTTTTCAATATATCTGAAGGTTTATGACCACCAATATTACCTGAAACACCTGATGATTATGTGCAAATGATGCAGAGGTGTTGGGATGTGGATCCATCAAAAAGACCAACTAGTGGAGAGCTTTATAATTTTGCTGATAATTAACTAGAAGAAATTATTAGTAATAATGCTACTAGTAATGGTAGTATTTTACAACAAGAACATACATCCAGATGGTTATCATACAAGTAGAATATTAGATGATGAGGTTAAAAGTTATACTAGTAATAATAGTTCATTAAATAATCTTGATATTAATTCTTTTCTCTAAATGTTAACAATGGTGAATAAAAATCTCGTTATTAATTGATTGGTATTACTAATAATATTAATTAATTAGTTAATAAACATTAGGTCCTAAGTAATAATTGATGAGTGACTAATTTAATCTCTGCTATAAATTTATTATTACCTTTTTATTTATCTTTTTATTTTATCCTTATTTTGTTTCTTAAATTATAATAATGTTTTGAAATAATAAACTTTTTACTGTTTTTTGATTCTTGTTAAATGATGATACTGCGAGGTATCATCTTGATTGATGACTCAACTTTTGGGCTACTCTGTCAGTTAAATTGTTTTGCAAATTAACCAAAGTGAATTTGACAATTGGCCAATAAGTGTAAATGACTAAATAAATCAATCACAAATGAATAAAAAGAACTTTATAGTTTGTAAAAGGGCCATCTTTATTTATTTACAGTTATCTAGTACCATTAAGTGTGCTCACAGATTCATAAAGTAAATTTGTAAATTAATTTATGAGCACCAAATTATTGTCAGTTACCTGCAATTAACTGACTTATTTAACAATCTTACATTTACAATTACAATATTAACCTTGGATGTTACTTCATTATTAGTTATACCTAATCTTGCTTGCTCACTAAAGAAAATAAAATGCGGATTTTTACCAAAGCTCCACAATTGTTGCCTTTTACCAATGAATTAACTAACTACACTTGTTGCTTTTATAAAAGTGCTTTAAACAAAGAAAATAAAAACAATGTTTTTATTTGTATTTTATTTTTAAAAGTTTATGATTCTATCACAGAGTTTTATTTATTAGTGTTAATGATCTATTGTTTCCTCTATTTTTTCAAGCAAAGACCAAAAGTTATTCCCTATTACTATTCATAATAATAATAATTCATGAAATTAAAGGTTTATTATTATTATTGCAAATTAACTTAATCAATCAATATTGATATCCATAAATTCACATAATAATTTAATAATAATTTCATTTGATATTTTGGATCTGAAACATGGAGTGCACAATTATCCAATCATGTATTAATGATTTATGATGAAACTTTTGACTCAAGTCATTGATGTAGCTAAAGTGTTGACTAAAGGTGGTTTCTCAGGTAATACAGAAAATATGTAATGTATGAACCTCTATGTATGTAACGTATGAATTTATTTCCATACATGTATGAAAAATGCAGATCATACATA